AAGTTTTTTGAATTTGTAATCTTTTCTAAAATGCCGATTTCTAACCAAGAAGCATTTAATATGCTGGCGGCGATGGTTCGTGGTGGATTCGGATAACGCAAATAGAAGATGCGGGCAGCGATGGTCGCATTTTGAAAACACTCAAATATATCGCCAGAATATTAAATGCTTCTTGGTTAGAAATCGGCATTTTAGAAAAGAACGCAGCCTGAAATTATGGTTAAAATCACAGGAATTTTACTCATTAAAAGAGTCTATAGCTTTCATGATACCAATCCTTAGTTCACATTTCATCATCCATATTATTTCTATTTCTATTCACATTATTAAGAAGGAAATAAAAATTATTATTTTTTAGTGACTGTATAAACGCTCTATTTTCTTCCCAACACCTGTAATAGGTTTCTTCTGTTTATTTTATAATTTTATTTATACTGTTAGTTTATTGGTTTGTACAGAAGTAGGGAATAAATCATTATTATTATTATTATTATTATTATTACAAATTCAAAAAACTGAATGTAAACACAGCAGAATAATTTACAAATTACGGCTGATAATATTTTATAATGCATCGTGTTTCCTTTGTTTAATTTTCCAAGGCCTACCTAAAAGTGTAGGGTGCTGTTCCAAACAATCTTTCGCGCCATCGACAAATACCGGAAATACGTCAAAAGTAAATTTAAGATACAATTTAAGCATTTTAATTAATTAATTAATTAATCTCAGTTTCCCAATATTTGAGGTTAGGAACGAGATTTTGAAAAACGGTTTTCACTGGCCTCTTTGGATATCATTTGGCTACTTTTTCATAAAGAACGGTTAAGAAGTTAAAGCAGGTTATTCCAAAAACAATTGAACGCCCGACACCATCTTTGTTTTTGAAATAAATGAGTTTTTGTTTTTACAAAAACGATAGATAAACGGGTTCTCTTTAAAAATGAGAAAAAAGAATGTTTAGTTTATTATGCGAAATTTAAAGAAAATGCAATTTTAAAATTTAAGATGGCATTTCCGCACTCTGGTGGTCATTTTTAGAACTTGAAAATATTTTCCAGCGATTCTTCCTAACGATTTACCCAATAATTTTTTTTACCACCAAGTCATACGTGATACGACGAACGGTTCCCGAGATATGGTCGAGGAACAGTCTTATTGGGTCACCCGCTATATCGTTTTCAAAGAAGATTCTCGAAACTCATAGTTGTCGAGAAATGCTAAACAAATTTTGAAATCCAAAATTCTGAAGGGAAACAAGTGTCCCAAAATCACTTTTTCTCAAAATACAAACCTCAAGATTCCTATGAATGTTCAAGATACATCAAGTTTTGGAACACTCAAAAGTCACATTACCAGAAACTAAAGGGTTCAAAAATTCATACTTCTCGAGACTCCATTAAACAGTCTGATCCCAATGAAAATAGGTACTAAAGTCACCCTTATTACAAAAGTTCTTAGAAGTGCGACAGGATTGGTGCGCCAAATATAAAAAGATTGTTCATTAGTTGGCGTTGAGATAATGTTAACAGTTTGTATGTGACAGCTGATCTGAGTGATTGCGTTTTAGTAAATTTCAAGACGACACTTCGCCCTCAAAAAGTAGTGATTGAAAATGGCACAAATTTCAGCGCAAAAACGGGCATACACCGACGTGACCAAACTGCTCTTGAACAAGCACGAGGTGTGGATGATGAACACGAACGAGTACTTCGTGAAATTCTTGGGCCCGAAGGAGACGCCCTACGAGGGCGGCGTGTGGAAGGTTCGAATTCTGATACCGAGCAACTATCCGTTCAGTTCGCCGAGCGTGAGCTTCGTGAACAAGATTTTCCATCCGAACGTTGAGGAGACCTCGGGCGCCGTTTGCTTGGACGTCATCAATCAAACGTGGAGTCCTCTCTACGACTTGTCGAACATATTTGAGGTGTTTCTGCCTCAACTGCTGACGTACCCGAACTCGAGAGACCCGCTCAATCCGGAGGCGGCGACCTTGTGTTTGTTTGACAACGCGACCTTTTTGAAGAGGGTCAAGTTGTACGTGAAAAAGTACGCGAACATTGTGAGATTGGAGGAGGAGAGCGAGGAGGTGGACTCGTCGGGCGCGGAGGATAGCAGTATGTCTGAGAGGGAGGATGATCAGTAATTATTTGTATCATTCGTTTTTAAACATTAAATTTTATTCAAACTCTTTGGTTTTGCTGATGGTTTTGCAGTGGTTCAATTGAGGCCCACACATGAGTGAAGGTAAGTGAGTCGAGACAAAGAACCCGGCTAAGAATTTAATACTTTTGGTTTCAAAAGTACCACCCGTCTACCTGAGATGGGTTGCGTTTACAGTATATTCGAGCTGTTCCAGAAACCAAAAATTCAAGGGGCTGTATCACGTGTCCTAAGGCCTAAGCCGTGAAGGTTCTAATAAGACCAATTCAGTGGAGTTAGACCTTTAACCCTGAATTCACAACTGTCAATACTTAATGTTGAATCCTGACTTCGATCATTAAACCCCGATCCTTCCTTCTTAGATCTTGAACTTGTGGTACTTGAGATTTGAATTCCAAATGTTGAATTTTGAATCCCTTGAGGATTGAATTCTAAATTCTGTTTCTTGATTGTAAAATCCTAAATCTCGAATTCAATCTTGAACCTTGAATCTTCACTCTTGAATGTTGCTTCTTGGACCGTGGATCTTGAGTCTTGGGTCTTGGGTGTTGAATCTTGACTCTTGGGCCCTGAGTCTTGAGCCTTTTGAATCTTGAATCTGGAGTCTCGGGTATCGAATTTAGAAGCATCTGGAATCTAGAGAATCTGAAATCTTGGAAAGCTTAAATTACAAAAGTTTTAGATTTTCAATTCGGAACTTTCAATACTAAATAATGAGTTCCGACCCCGGTCCTTAAACCTTGGTGCTTGGACTTTGCCGCTTCTCTGTTGAATTTTAGATCTCGGATCTCGAATCTAGAATTTCGAATCTCGAATCTTGAATCCCAATCTTGATCTTGAATCCTGGCTCCTGAACCCTAAATCTTGAATCTTGAATCCTGAAACTTGAATCTTGAATCTTGGATCTTGAAACTTGAATCTTGAATCTTGAATCCTGGCTCATGAATCCTATATCTTGAATCCTGAAACTTTAATCTTGAATCTTGGATCTTGAATCTTGAATCTTGGAGCTTGAATCTTGAATCTTGAATCTTGAAACTGGAATCTTGAATCCTGAATCCTTGCTTTTGAATCTTAAATCTTGAATCTTGAATCCTGAATCCTGAAACTTTAATCTTGAATCTTGGATCTTGAACCTTGAATCTTGAAACTGGAATCTTGAATCCGGAATCCTGAATCCTTGCTCATGAATCCTAAATCTTGAATCTTGGATCCTGAATCCTGACACTTTAATCTTGAATCTTTGACCTTGAACTTTGAATTTTGAATCTTGAACCTTGTATCTTGTACATTGAATCTTGAATCTTGAATCACGGGTATTGAATCTCGAATACTGACTCTTCAATCCTGACCGCAGTCCTTTAACCCTAAACTTTGCGGCTTAGATCTTGAACCTTCCGTATTGAATTCTGAATCTTGCATCTTGAACCATAAATCTTGAACACTGAATTCTTCACCTCGAATCCCCAGTCCTAAATTCAAAATACTGAATCTTGAATCCCTGAATCTTGACTATTAAATATTGAATTTTTAATCTTTAATTTCGATTTTTGAATCTGGAAACTTGCATTCCGCGTCCTGATGCATCCTGAATTGATCTTAATTATAAATCTAGTAAATTTAAAACATGAAAATCCAAAAAAATCATAAAATCCTGAAATGACAACGTTACGAATCCTGACCCCGATGATTGAACTTTGGTAAGAGTTTCAGTACTCAATACAGTACTTGAATCGTAACTTCCGTTCCTTGAATTCAAAATCCTGAATACCGAATCCCAAACCTTAGATTTTGAATCTTGAGTCCTGATTCCTGAATTCTGAGGCTTGAATCTTGTATCCTGGTCCTGATGAATGCTAAATCCGTAATCCAATTTTTAATCGAGAAAACTTTAAGCATTGAAAATTTTTAATCCTAAAAATAATTACATTTGAAAAGATAGAATCTTGACAATTTTGAATTATAGAATTCTTGGATCTTTAACCCGAAACGCACAATTTTCTTTACAATATTGAATCCTGATGACCTCGATCAGTGAACCATGACCCATATCTCTTGGATCTTGAACTTTGAGGTTTGAATATTGAATCCTTGAATTCTAAATTCTCTTCCATGAATACAAATTCTTGAATCCTGAATCTTGCATTTTGAATATTGACTGTTGGATCTTGGGTTTTGATTCTCGAATCTTGCCTCTTGGGTCCTGAGTTTGGAGGCTCTTGAATGTTGAATCTTGAATCTTGAATCTTGAATCTGGAATTTCGAATCTTGAATTCTTTGGATTTTTGATTTTGGATCTTCGATCCTGGATCTTGGATCGTGGATCTTCGATCTTGGATCTTCGATCTTGAATCTTCGATCTTGGATCTTCGAGCTTGGAGTCTTGAGTCTCGAAGTTAGAATTTTATGAACTTTGAATCTTGAGCATCTCGGATCAAGAGAATCTTGACCATTTTCGAATCTAGAAAAGCTTAAATCACAAGAGTCTCGGGTTTTAAATTCTGAACTCATAACTCTCTCCACTGTACTTAAACTTTGAACTTTGCTGCTTGGATCTTGAACTTTTGGTATTGAACCTTGAATCTCGAATCTTGAATCTTGAAACTTGAATCTTGAATCTTGCATCATCAATCTTTGAAGCTTGAATCTGGAATCTTGAATTTCGAATCTTGAATTCTTTGGATCTTTGATTTTGGATCTTCGATCTTAGATCTTAGATCTTGGATCTTAGATCTTGGATCTTAGATCTTGGATCTTAGATCTTGGGTCTTAGATCTTGGATCTTAGATCTTGGATGCTTAGATCTTGGATCTTAGATCTTGGATCTTAGATCTTAGATCTTAGATCTTGGATCTTCGATCTTGGATCTCCGATCTCCGATCTTGGATCTCCGATCTTGGATCTTCGACCTTGGATTTTCGACCTTGGATCTTCGATCTTGGATCTTCGATCTTGGAATCTTCGATCTTGGATCTTCGATCTTGGATCTCCGATCTTGGATCTCCGATCTTGGATCTTCGATCTTGGATCTTCGATCTTGGATCTTCGATCTTGGATCTTCGATCTTGGATCTTCGATCTTGGATCTTCGATCTTGGATCTTGGATCTTCGATCTTGGATCTTCGATCTTGAATCTTCGATCTTGGATCTTCGAGCTTGGAGTCTTGAGTCTCGAAGTTAGAATTTTATGAACTTTGAATCTTGAGCATCTCGGATCAAGAGAATCTTGACCATTTTCGAATCTAGAAAAGCTTAAATCACAAGAGTCTCGGGTTTTAAATTCTGAACTCATAACTCTCTCCACTGTACTTAAACTTTGAACTTTGCTGCTTGGATCTTGAATCTTGAAACTTGAATCTTGAATCTTGCATCATCAATCTTTGAAGCTTGAATCTGGAATCTTGAATTTCGAATCTTGAATTCTTTGGATCTTTGATTTTGGATCTTCGATCTTGGATCTTAGATCTTGGATCTTAGATCTTGGAATCTTAGATCTTGGATCTTAGATCTTGGATCTTAGATCTTGGATCTTAGATCTTGGATCTTAGATCTTGGATCTTAGATCTTGGATCTTAGATCTTGGATCTTAGATCTTGGATCTTAGATCTTGGATCATAGATCTTAGGTCTTGGATCTTAGATCTTGGGTCTTAGATCTTGGATCTTAGATCTTGGATCTTAGATCTTGGATCTTAGATCTTGGATCTTAGATCTTAGATCTTGGATCTTCGATCTTGGATCTCCGATCTCCGATCTTGGATCTCCGATCTTGGATCTCCGATCTTGGATCTCCGATCTTGGATCTCCGATCTTGGATCTCAGATCTTGGATCTCCGATCTTGGATCTTCGACCTTGGATCTTCGACCTTGGATCTTCGATCTTGGATCTTCGATCTTGGAATCTTCGATCTTGGATCTTCGATCTTGGATCTCCGATCTTGGATCTCCGATCTTGGATCTTCGATCTTGGATCTTCGATCTTGGATCTTCGATCTTGGATCTTCGATCTTGGATCTTCGATCTTGGATCTTCGATCTTGGATCTTGGATCTTCGATCTTCGATCTTGGATCTTGGATCTTGGATCTTCGATCTTGGATCTTCGATCTTGGATCTTCGATCTTGGATCTTCGATCTTGGATCTTCGATCTTGGATCTTCGATCTTGGATCTTCGATCTTGGATCTTCGATCTTGGATCTTGGATCTTCGATCTTCGATCTTGGATCTTGGATCTTGGATCTTCGATCTTGGATCTTCGATCTTGGATCTTCGATCTTGGATCTTCGATCTTGGATCTTCGATCTTGGATCTTCGATCTTGGATCTTCGACCTTGGATCTTCGATCTGGGATCTTCGATCTCGGATCTTCTATCTCGGATCTTCGATCTCAGATCTTCAATTTCGGATCTTCGATCTCGGATCTTCGATCTTCGAGCTTCCATCTCGGATCTTCGATCTTGGATCACTTTACATCTTGTCCAGTTTTTCAACGGATCTTGCCTGAAGGGAATGTCACATCGTCCACAATATCATGTTCTCCCAGTTTCAATTTCTTCCAAAACTCAAAAAAGACTCTATTCAGTACCCCCTTCTTGATTTGACAAAATTTGCCTCTACACAACAACAAAAGTATCTTTATGTTGCAGTTTTTGTCACAGAAGAAGGCCAAGAGGAATTCGTAACATGGTTCCGGGACCTTCTGCCGTTGTACGGCGAGGGCCGCGTAACTCTCGCCGGTGACGTTCTGACGCTAGCATTTACAGATGAGGACGAGGACAAGGGTAAGTTCCGCTATGGTACATCAACGCTAATTTCCTTTACAGTTTGCAGCACCCTCTCCGGAAACCCCCCGTTAGTAATCGACGCCACCTGGAGCGGCAACGAGAAGGCGAAGTCAGTGGCCGAGAAGCTTGACGTGCCCTACGTAAGAGTTGACCTTTCGATCAGTCCGATACTGGACGTTTTGGATAAGTTGCTCACCATGAGAAACTCGTCCGATCTCGTCGCGATCTTTGACGATCCGAATAGTGAGTGCGTAAGAGCGCCGCCGATTCACATCAGCGGATTTGTTTCAGACGTCGACCAAGCGCTGTATTATTGGATCGACTCAACGCGATTGCGCATGGTGGTCACGCACCAGCTGGACAAGGTCACGGCGGAGAGGTTGAAGAAGATGCGACCGATGCCGAACAGCTTCGCGATCATCGCGCACACGGCGAACGTTACCGAACTGTTTCGCTCGGTAATCACCTTTTGTTAAAAGCTCGGTTGTAATAATTGGTGGTTTAGGCTTACAGCGAGAGGCTGGTGAGATTCCCCGAGCGTTGGAATTTGGCGTTTCTAGATTTCCCCTCCGAATGTTTGGATCAGGAGCTAAATTTGACAAACGTAAACTTGCTGCGGATTGCCCCGGAGACGTGCTGCAAGCTGCGAAGGTTGGAGGAATGCGTTTGCCCCCAAGACTTTCGGTTACAGCGCGACCTGCTTAACGCCATCCTTTGGGAGATCGATCGAAATTTAGAAGATATGGTTGCGCGCGGTGTGGATCTGGGGGGAAACGTCTCGTGCTTTGAGCAGAAGTACAGCGAGACAATCGCAACTGATCTACTACAGAGCTTAACTGAGAACGGCAGGGGTAGTGGTACCTTCCGCTTGGTTAAAGGGGCGTTACGGTTGGATGCGGTGGCAAGCGTCGAAGCCGACGGGGAGATCATCGCCAGGTATCGAGGTGGTGAGTTGGTGGCCGAAGCAAATTACGATATTCAGCCGGTGAAGCCGTTTTTTCGCATCGGAACCATAACGGTAAGTTGGCTGAACTCAAAGTTCGGTCATCGATTTTTTTTAGGCGGTGCCCTGGGCGTACGAAGAGACTGACCCGGTCACTGGTAAAAAGCGGTGGACCGGGTACTGCATCGAGTTCGTCCAGAAGCTTTCCGAAATGCTTCACTTCAATTACGAATTGGTGGTGCCCAAAAGCGGAACATTTGGGCACAAAAATGCGAAGGGCAAATGGGACGGGATCATTGGCGATATTGTATCAGGTGAAACGTACATGTCCATAGCTCCTTTGATCATGACAGCTGACCGAGAGGAGGTGGTCGATTTTGTACCACCATACTTTGAGCAGTCGGGAATTTCCATAGGTTGGTAGCGCCTGTCTGCCATCGTGTTCACCATGTCCATTGCAGTGATGAGGAAACCGGTCATTAAAACGTCGCTATTCAAGTTTATGACTGTGCTCAAAGTGGAAGTATGGCTTAGCATTGTTGCCGCCCTAATCGTGGCGGCCTGCATGATTTGGTTCTTAGACCGGTACTCCCCTTACAGCGCGAAGAACAACCCGGATGCCTATCCCTACACTTGCAGGTTGGCTTATCTACCCAGTTACTACCACTTAAAGACGAGGTGCTTTCAGGAAGTTCACTTTGAAGGAAAGCTTCTGGTTCGCCTTGACTTCGTTCACCCCCCAAGGTGGAGGGGAGGCACCAAAGTCTTTGTCAGCGCGCACCCTGGTGGCAGCCTACTGGCTGTTCGTGGTCCTCATGCTGGCGACATTCACAGCCAACTTAGCTGCATTTTTAACTGTGGAGCGTATGCAAGTAGGTACCCCCAAGGAGATAAGAGACAGGAGAATGCCGTTTTCCTGACTGTCATCTTCTGGGACCTATGTCAAGACGGTACTTCTTTCAGTCGCCCGTAGAGTCCTTAGATCAACTCTCCCGACAATCCCGTATTAATTACACAGTTGTCAGGGAGTCACTCACCCACGAATACTTCATCAACATGAAGTTCGCCGAAGACACCCTTTACAGGTACGCTCAGCCACGCCCCCCATCGTTTCATAGCTATTTCACTTTAAGAATGTGGAAAGAGCTCACCCTCAACGCCTCAACTGAGGACAAAAGGTACAGAGTGTGGGACTATCCGATTCACGAGCAGTACGGTCACATCCTGCTGTCGATCAACGAATCGAACCCCGTGCCGAACGCGTCCGAAGGTTTCCGCATCGTAAACGAACGGCTCGAAGGCGACTTCGCCTTCATTCACGACTCGTCCGAGATCAAGTACGAAATTTCGAGGAACTGCAACTTCAGCGAGGTCGGCGAGGTCTTCGCCGAGAAACCGTACGCAATCGCCATTCAGCAGGGCAGCTACCTCCAGGATCCCATCAGCATCGCGTAATCATCCCACGCTCGGCCAATTCCGCGCTAACTAAAGACGTTTAGAATTTTAGATCTGCAAAGGGAACGCTTCTTCGACTTTCTCCAGACGAAATATTGGAATACGTCGATCAGGGGCGACTGTTCGGATTTCGACGAGAGCGAGGGGATCACGCTAGAAAGTCTGGGTGAGTACCATGAGTCAGGTGGTTTTTCTTCGAATTGTCACGTGACTTACAGGCGGCGTCTTCATCGCGACGCTGGTCGGGTTGGGTCTCGCCATGTTGACTTTGGCGGGGGAGATCTTCTACTACAAAAAGAAGAACGACGATATGAACGTACCGAAACCCGTTGAGCTACCCTCGAAGAAAACCAAGAAGAAGAAGAAGCATTCGAAGAACATTCACCCTTATCCCAACACTATCACAATTGGATCGGAATTTAAACCACGACAGGATGGGCGAATGACACCACAATTATCTCACATCTATCAACCCCATTTGATGCACCGCCCCAACTAATGCTTGAGAAATGGAGGAACTCTTAAACTTAAGTTGTGCGCCGGTAGGATATTGCAAATATACGATTTAGGGATGGTAGTTCTATTCTAGCCAATTCTCTAACAGAAAAACAAGAGTCAATAAGACATTAAAATTCAAATAAAAAAAGCCTTGTGTACTTATTTTGCACTACGACACCTAAACTCATTCGGCTGAAATCGAGGCTGAAATATAGTTCACAATGTGCGGCTAAATTCTTTATTTCCCTAACTGAGACCCTTTTAACCAAAGAGTAATTAGGGAACTCTTTGCTTTAACTTCCTTTTTGGTATTATGTGTCTATTTGTGTGGGTTTTACCGAAACAGCGGGGAGTATATAATGTGCGCAAAGGTAGTAGAAAACTAATCTAAAATTGGTTTGGCTAACAGGGGAACATGATGGATGTCCTTTTGCATCACCGCGAGATAACGTTTTTATTGGCCTCAGCACCCATAATTACGAGATTGGGGAAAGAAGCCTTGAGCAGGATTAACTTTTATCAATCCTCAATCAGGAGTATATAATGTGCGCAAAGGTAATAGAAAACTACTCTAAAATTGGTTTGGCTAACAGGGGAACACGATAGATGTCTTTTTCCATCACCGCGAGATATCGTTTTCATTGGCCTCAGCACATATAAATACGAAATTGGGGAAAGAAGTCTTGAGCAGGA